CGCGTGTATTTTAGATACGGCCCGGCGGACGGTGTGATTTTATGACGTCACGCGTTTTACGTGACTTATAAATAAACACCGAAGCAATTGTCCGACAAAAATTTTTATACCACTAAAATTTTGCTTTTTTTAAGCACTAAATTTTCACACAATAAAAAAAAATTAGGATTTTTTAGTTGTATAGTCCTTTAAGTACTTATCTGAGTATAATAAATTGTACGTTTAACTGAGGTCAGGTGATATGACATTGTGAGACTTCAAACTTTCAATGCATATTCAAAATAATTTTTAGGTGATACAAATATCAATATGGCTATATTATAAGGTATAAATACCCGTGATCAAATTTCATGTTTTCTTTTCTTTTTTTTTATCAATTTGTATTATAAAAACTTAATTTAAAAGTATTTGTAAAAATATTGTCGATGTTTATGTTGCTTTTACCATTGATTATAGATTCTACATGTTTATCCATGATAAAATAATTTATAGACTTATCGCTTTTTCTGTCACTGCCACAAAACCGGTCTAGGAATAAGTAATTTGCCGTCAGTAGTAATAATTTAATATTAATTCATACATTGCTACCTATCGGCAGCTATAATAAATAAAATTGTAGTCATCGAAAATTCCTATACTATGGTCTATCTGTCTATTCTATAATCAATGGCCAATGCTTATATTTAAGTATTTAATAGAGTTTAAGAAAAGGTAAATTCGTGGGCATTTAATTTGTGATAATTTCATGAGTAACAGTGTGCTCTATCAGCTATAAAAATAATAGTTATCTATAGGTATATCTTTCAAAATATAAATATAAATAATGATTAAAATAATTAAAAGATATTTAATTTACACATACATATTTCTTGACTTTCTCTACTGCCTTTTTACTTTACGATTTGCTGATCTGCAAGTGAAATAGTATAGTTATTTATTTAAGTAGACTGTATCGTAGACATAGAAGACGGCGCTTTGATTAAGCATTTTAAGGCCATTAGCCATTATTTTATTATAAAAATAATATCATATTGAATACAATATTATTACTATAGTATAGTACTATTATATTTATATTGTAATTAATGGTAATTTTTAATGCTATTATAATAAAATAGTGTATTTTATAAAGATTGAGTATTTATTTATAGGTACTAGCAGACCCCAAGCAATTCGTTTCCCATAAAAATGCCAACTATTATATGATTCAAACTTTGTTAAATTTTTCTTGATTAATGTTTGGTATAATAGTGTTCAAAACTAAAAAAAAAAAAATTAGAAAATTAAGAAAAACTTAGGAAAAAAATTCTAATTTTAAAATCAGTGGATATTAATAATAATTAATAATTATTAATTATAGCTAATGAAGATCGTTTTGCTAGTTGAAGGTATACCGCACAGAACACATGCAATGTTATATAACTCTTGAACGCTCAATATTTGACCAATAATCGATATTTATCTAATGGCACACTAACCACKGTATACTCTATTAATTGGAAATTATTTCCTCCTGAAATATCCATAGATATTATAAGTCTTATAATATCAATAGGAATATCTACAACAATTACTGTCGCGGGCGCCCGAGACGCCGATATTTCGCCGGAACGACGGTTCGTCACCAACCCGACGATATGATCAGCTGATGGCTACAACTACAGCCTGCTGTAGCAGCTGTTACGGTCGCAGGCATGCCTGAATAGTGAAAAGTAAACATAACACAAATCCAAAACACAACACTACTGTAGACCAGACCACAGACAACAACACCAACGCGACCTCGATCACGTCTATCCGAAAATCCAAATTATTGTACTATAAATTATTATTGTAATATTGTCGAGTTGTTTGTTGTTATTATTGCGCCGCTGTTGGCTGCCGCCGTCGACATTCACCAACTCACAAACTGAGTACACTGTTGTGGCATTCGTCAACCGTCTACAGTCGACACTCAACGGGCATTTGCGTTCTATTTTCTACTCTCTACGGTCGTCAACAACACCACTTTCAACACAATCCACGTTTAACAGTCACTCACAACAATTACCCGTAATTGCTGAATTTATCTTTTCGTCTTGTTCKCCGTTGCCATGGGAGACGAATCCAAACTCAAAGGTGGTCATGCTCAAGCAGGTAATTATTATTATTATAGAACTATAGAAGGCATCCACGTGTCTTGCGCTTCGTGCACATTAACACGTTTTCATTTTTGTTTTTACACAGTCAAAGCCGGCGGCATGCGCATCGTGCAGCACAAGAACCCGGTCGCCGACAAGATATCTGCCGCAGCTTCAGACGAGGCGAATTCGGTTTTGAAAGTTTCCACTAGGTAAATATGACAGTAAATATCGTACTGCTGACTATAATTATTTTTCCGCCGGATCGAGGGATCCGTCTGTCGCGTAGACTAAAATAAATACCTATTTAMGTCTTTTACGATTATAATATTATGACGTGTTTCGAAACGATTGAATTTTTTTTCTACCATAAATCTATGAAACACGCGATATTTTATAACCAGACGAGATCGCCATTTGCCGTTGTTTATCCTCATATTATGCCTTCAGAGCGACGTTCGTCTCCGATTTTTTTCGACAATCACCCTAATCTCGTTTTCTCTTCCGTTATTTTTTTTCCATGTTCGCCGCAGTCCGCCCAAGCAGACCGTGGTGCCGGTGCACGCTCACAACGACTATCCGACTCAGGCCGTCCAGAAGACTCACGACAAGCCGACGCCCAGTCATGAGATGAGACAGCACACGTGCACGAAACCGACCATCCATCAGCCACGCAAATGAACGCGACAGCGTCTACGCGCACACAAGAGACTGCAGAGCTCGGGACGTACGTCGATCGGCACGTTCCCGATTTATTCTTATTCTCCCTAAAATTAACTATTAATTATTACCTCTCAATACACATTCTAAACCAAAACGATTTTTAGTCTTAAGGTTTAAACTAAATTTATTTTTGCATTTACATATATTAATATGGTAAAATAATAATATTATTTACCGTTCGTCTTCTCCTGCTGTCTATGATATTCCTCGTATTGTTCATTCCGTCACTATATAATATTGTTTTATATAAATATGTATTATGTAACATTAATTGTATTTTGGGATGTTTATTTGGCGTTGGATTCGGGAATTAATTAGGCTACAGGTTGTAATTACTTTTCAAAGAATCAATACAAGTTTAATAATCGATCGATTTTATTTTTATTATGAATAAAGTATATATATATATTTTTTTTGGTATTCGTTGTTTTATTTTATTTTCAAGTCATTTCACCAATTGGTATTTATTGATGTCGGACAAAGGAGAACTATTGGTAATATTTATTTTATCGTCTAGATTTGTAAACGGGAAAAACAGTCTACGGACGCCATGTTACAAAATGGCGTGGCAACAGGTCACGAACTATTATATATATAATATTTTATGGTTATGTTATACTTATAATATTATATTGGTATGATATATTATATGTAAAATGTTTTTTAAATTATATTAAAATTACATACAAACATCTTAGTCTACTGCGTCGATCTGTGACAATTCATAATTTAAGTGCAGATATTGGTTATTAAACTACTCTATATAAGTAAAAATGTTTTGACTATTTCGAGCACCTAATAACTAGTAAAAAAATCTTCGTTATAAAATCATCAAATCCGTTAGTCGTGATGTACAAGTCTACAATAGTAATATGGATGTATGAAAGTAATTCATTATACAACATGGGTTTTCAATCTTTTTGGAGACAATTTAAACGGTTACCATACAAATAATATTTATAAATAATAAATAAACATAATATTTTTGATCCCTTGATAGTAATCGGTAACGCATAGGTTGAAAACCCCTGCTTTACACAATATACTAATGTAGCAATTTTTTTCCGGCCATTGACGATGACGTGGCGGCATACATCCTGACACTTGTATTAGATATACAATATTAAAATTAAAAAGTCAATAAGTACCTATCGATCATTGACGTACTGTCAATAGAATCGTGGCATATCGAATACGAATCGATGAAGGTATATGGTATATCAGTCTATAGATAACCTTAGCCATTTTTTAGACCTTAAAAGTTTAAATTATATGTATAGTTTCGAATAAAACGAGTTGGCAGTTCGTAAATAAGTACTAAGTATTTGCATTCTGTTAAAAGTATGATTTTAAGTTTTTACAGTATTAAAATCCAGTGAAATACCTAATTACATAAATAAAAATTGATTACCTACTTTAAGTTTTAATATGAGTAATTTTAGCAATAATACCTACTGAATTTTTAAAACATGTTTCTAAAATGTAATAAAAATGTATTTAATAAATAAAATAAAAATTATTATCAACTTATTATGTGTTGATAATACCTAAATGTCCTGAGTTAATTAGAAACCTACTTTAAAAACCAAAATTATTCCAAATGCTAAAATATTTATAAGTTAAAATTAAAATTGATCTGTTCGTTTATCCAGCGCCGTCGTTAGGTTTTGCGAGGCCCTGGCAAAATTTTTAAAACTGATCACAATCACGTTTAAATCGTTTAATAAATTGTTTACTAATCAATTCAAATTAAATTTTATACTTTTATTTTTACAAGCGAATTAAATATTTAAGAATTAATTTCTAAAAACTATTATTAATATTTTTAGCTTACACTGTTTAGTAACTAATGTAACTAATATTATTGTTTTTATTACAATTAAATATCATAATATTATAAATATTATTATTATAACAAATATTGTTTAATAAATTATTATATTAGATTTTAAACATATTATACTATTATAGCTTACGAAAAATATGGTTAAAAGAGCGAGGCCTCAAAAAACAATGAAAACCGCGAGACCCCGGCAATTGTCCGATTTGCCGGGTTCATGCGACGACGCTGCGTTTATAGAAACATTGACGAAATACATCATGTCACCATTTGGCTATGTTTTATTTCTTATACTATAAAGTATAAAGTCACTGCAATTAAAATCGCACCCATGATGGCATATTGAAAATATGGCCAATATGGTCAATTTTTTCATAAATAATTTTGCTAACCGTACAAACATTGTGAATATAATATAATGGAGCTGTGGGATGAAAAAGTTTGAATATCTCTGGCCTAAAGATAAATATCTCCGAAAAGATAAAAAAAAGTTGTTCTGAACATTTGTTTTAAGTTGACCAAACTATTAACTTACCAACAAAAGCCACATCGGTACGTCTCATTTAATTCCACTACTCCAGTCTTTTAATTATCATGCCGAATATTCAAATATTTCAAATATTCGGCAATATTAATAAATTTTATTTTATTAGTCTAAGAATAATTGGAAAAGTTGTACATTAGAACAAAATTATTTTGTGAGAACTTGGCAACTGTAAACAACTGTATTTAGGACTAATTGTAAGTTGCAATACTCGACTATACGAGCAACAACTTAAACATACGTGTTCTTTTTGCATTATCATTTTTCTTATCAACGGATAATTTTCTTTATAGTTCATTAATCATTAATAAATGTTATTTTTTAAAACAGTAATAAATTATTGTCGTTCATTGTTCGACTTTTCAGTCAATCAATAGTAATTTCTACTGAAAATCAGATCGAATAATCAATTTTTTTGAATATAATGCCAAATGCTCTTTAGTGGAAAAATTTCTCTATAAGATAAATTTATTGCAGCGCACTATAACGTGGTAAGAAATAATACGAATTTGCTTCATTGCTTCCGTGTTCGGTTAACGAATGTTTTTTTTTTTTTATATTGCATCAATAATACGTTACGGTCGTGATATTTCATTTGATGTTTTATTTGTTTATAGATGGCTGAACTTCCGGATTGGTTTACATCCATACCTTATTTTACAAAACGATGGCTTTCCCTGACTGCCATCTTGACTTTAGCCGGACGATTTGGTGTTCTGAATCCTTTTAATTTTATGTTATTTTATGAACCATTCATCAAAAAATTTGAGGTAAGTTTCTAAACGTGCATTGGTTATTTGTAGTTTTTATATCACAGTGTACTAAAGATCTACTTAGTTCTATACAAATTTATTTTATACTAATGTCTAATATTTATTATTTTGTACAATAGATTTGGAGAGCAGTCACTGCTTTGTTAATGTACCCATTATCACCTGGAAATGGATTTCATTTTTTAGTCAATTGCTATTTTCTATATAGTTATTCAATAAGATTGGAAACAGGTCAGTAATTTAAATTTCATAATCCTCTGAAAATTTTATTCTGTTACCTAACCAATTTTGTGGTTCTAAATATGTGATTTCATATTAATATAGATTCATTTAGTGGAAGACCGGCAGATTATTTTTTCTTACTTATATTTAATTGGATATGTTGTGTCATTATTGGACTTTTGGCAAATATACCGGTAAATCAATTAATTTGCATTATGTTCTTGAAATTAAGAGGATGTCAGCTCACAGTTTGTTATCTCTTTCTAGTCTATGCTCAATATAGGTCTATGCGCTTTCACGCAAAATTATTTTATATTTTTTTTTATGCTTTCAAGTAATCTCAGAGTAAATTCACTCATTATTAAAACGATTAAGAATATTTTCAGTGGTATGACATATTATATAAATATTTACTGAAAACAATTTAAATAATATTTATTAAATTTTTTATTTTAAATGTCAAGCACAAATTCAAATAATATTAAAATAGGAAACTGATATGTCATACCCTCAAAAATATTATTCTTTATAATTTTTTTAATAGATAATTTCACTCCTCTAGATTACTCATAAATAATTTTAAAAATAATAATTGTCCTTGAAGTATTTGATTTTTGTTGTGTGTGGGTGGTCTGAATAAGAAAACAAATATTACGCTGATAATATTTTGATAAATTTAATTTTAACAAAATATTTTTTCTCTAGGTTCTTATGGATCCTATGGTCTTAAGTATATTATATGTATGGTGCCAACTAAATAAAGACGTAATTGTAAGTTTCTGGTTTGGAACTCGTTTCAAAGCTATGTATTTACCATGGGTATTGTTTGGATTCAATTTGATTATTTCTGGAGGGTAAATATAATTTAATTAATTAATTAATTAATGAACAGCAGTTTAATCTCATCTAATATTTTATTTATTTTTTAGTCATTATGATAGGAAATAATTATTTTTTTTTTTTCAGAGGACTTCAGGAATTAGTTGGGATAATTGTAGGTCATTTATATTTTTTCCTCATGTTCAAATACCCACAAGAAATGGGTGGACCACAACTTATACAAACACCTCAGATATTGTAAGTAGTTAAATAATATTAATATTTTAATATTCTATCACTGCAATGGTTTCAAGAAAGGGCTATTATGTCACCAACTAATGAGCCAGTCGACAAATTTAATGATATAATTCTATCTAGGTTTAACTCACGATCACAAATACTTTTTTAAATTGATATAGTTTTAGAAAAAAAGGATGTAGTCCATTTTCCTACTGAATTTCTTAGTTCTTAATGCCTTCTAGAGTTCCACCATATAAACTGAATTTAAAAATAGGAGCACCTATTATTTTAATGATAAATTTGACTCCACCCACACTTTGCAATGGTACAAGACTACAAATCAAAAATTGAAAAGTTTATTGCTCGATTGCATAATTTTAACAGAATGTGATACTGGAAAACCTGTTTTAATACCAAGAATACCAATTATACCCTCAGATTTACTTTTTCAGTTTAATCGTATTCAATTTCCCATTAAATTAGCATTTGCAACGACTATAAGCAAAGCATAGGGACAAACAATTAATATTGCTGTATTAATAAAAATCTTACAATAGCAAAGCATTGCCTGGTCAGCTAGTTTATTATATTATTCTTAATATAATTAATAAAATATTTATTTTATATAAGCAACTAAATAGTTTTTTTTAATGTTGTGCTTTATGTTCTTTTAGATACAAATTTTTTCCCAATCAAAGGACAGTTCATGGTTTTGGTCAACCACCAACTAGAGCAGCGCCAACTGCAGCTCCTGCAGCAAGAAACCAACAAGGGGAAGGTGGATTAAACTTTCGTCGCCATGATTGGGGTAGAGGTTATGTTCTTGGACAACAACAATAAACTAAGTCTGATTTAACAATATTTTGTATTTTAAACATTTATTTTACCTATTACAAATAATATGTAAGTGAAGGTATGTTGTGTTTTATTTATGTAAGTGTATGTCCTCACCTAAGTAAATTTAACAGGATTAACTTATTAT